ACATCAGAAGCACTTAATGATCCTTTATTTGAATCATACTCTCAGGACTAGAAGGAACTTTATAGCAAAGTTGCCTACTAAGCGCCTCCCACTTTCTACAAAACCTGGCCATGAGGTTTTTGCAGCCTCTGGTTATTATGAAAGAAACCACCTCTTCCCAATCCATTTTGGTTTAGAGGTTAAGACTTACTGTTGTAAATAATCTCAATAAATAGTTAAGCACCAACTACATGCCAGACCATGATGGACAGGGCTCTGGGACCATGACAGTGAACATGACTGACCTTGTCGAGGTCCTGTGGCACTTTCTAACTCACCTTCCTTGCTCTGCTGATCCGGCAGCACATGATAAATCGTCTCTGGGTCACTGTGCCTCTCAAAGCCATTTCACAGCCAAAGGCACCACAACTGAGCCTGTGGGTCAGTGGCCACAGGCTGAACACACCTGGCAGATTTAAGGGCACACAGGGGGTGGGTGCCACTGCTGAATCAGGGAGGTGGGAGGAGGGGACCTGGGTGTAGGGGGCAGCTTGCATTTGTGGAGAGCCTGGTTCCAGTCCCAAGAGGTTTGCTCGTTTCAGTGTTGGCGTGTCCACCAGGGAAGCCAGGATGTAAGCCTGTGGGACACGGATGAGCTCCAAAGTGCCAAAGGGTGGCAGGCAGCCTGGTTTCCCCAGGTGAGCTTCCTCCCAGCGGCGACTCTGGCACTGACTTTGATCTCCATAAAAGCACCCTCACTGGCTGACACACGGAAATGGTTCCACAGAGGGAGGTTTCAAACTTGCCTGAAATTTGTAGTGCCTCACATCATTTGCCCACCAAAAATAATGGGATGTTCCGGGAAACTGAACTGAGTCTGGAGCACAGGTGACTGGTGCCCTGAGCCAGGCTGGGCTCCAGCACTGTCACCTAGGAAGGCCTCAGGTGGGGTGACAGTTTCTACTGCCCCGGGAGTAGAGATGGAAGTCCAATGTCCTTTTATGACATGGTTTATCCTGCCCTGTCCCATATGGAATCCAGATCATGGTCAAGGTCAAGGGGTGGCAATGGGCCCCACTTACCCTTGAGGTATTCCTGCATTCCCTGTGGCTCCTCGTCCCTGGTGCCCTGAGGAAGAAGCCTATGTATGTACCCAGTGCCATGAGCAGCCGGGCCCAACCATGTACTTGGGATTTCCATGTACCTAGGAGCTGGCTGAGGCTTTGGAAGAGTGAGAGTTTTCTGACTACTCAACAAACCCCTGTCTAAACTCCAGCCTGGACTCAGAATGTCAGATCAATAAATCTCAGGTCCCATTGATTTCTCTCCCGTCTCTCCTTCAGCCTCATCTACACTATAAAGCACAGTTGTGACAGCTTGCAGGCCATGGGAGAAGGGTGGGAACTCCTAAGGCTTCTAGGACTGAGTTTGCTCGCTGAAGAGCACCACCCTGTGGAGATGCAGCAGGCAGTTTGCCTGCACCCATCTCCCAAAGCACCCCCACTGTCTTGTTATGGCATCCCTGCTTCTGGTCTTGTCTCCACGGACACACCCCAGGTCCCTGGTTGGGAGTCCTGTGCAGTACCCCTGTTCCTTGAGATTTCTGGGCTACCTCTGAGGATTCCCATCAGGCCCCAGGGTCAAAATCCCCCTACATCCAGGCCCCCTCCTCCACCTTCCCAATTCAGGGTGGTATCCATGCTGTCTGTCCTAAAGGAAGAGACTAAGGGGTCTGTAAATCAGTCTGTTCCTAGAGATGACCTAGGCCCGTGGTCGGCAAACTGTGGCTCATGAGCCACATGCAGATCTTTGGCCCCTTGAATGTGGCTCTTCCTAAGCCTTAGGAGGACCCTAATTAAGTTAATAACAATGTACCTGCCTATATAGTTTAAGTTTAAAAAAATTGGCTCTCAAAAGAAATTTCAATCGTTGTACTGTTGATATTTGGCTCTGTTGACTAATGAGTTTGCCGACCACTGACCTAGACCAACAGTGGCAAGAACAGGTCTTCTGGCCGCACCACATGGGCCACCGGTGCTGCTGATCAAGTCCAGGCCGGCCAGTTAGGTCCCACCCCAGCCTCCTATTCCTGGTAGGGCTTGCAGGCCACCCTGGCAGGAATCTGCGCCAGCGCCTTTGTTTATGTGCTGTGTCCTTGAAGACTCTCCTGCAGCCCCTCATCTGTCAGGCAGCCTTATCTCCTTCAAGATGTGCCCCAGGCCTGGCTAGGCAGCCTGTGGAGCTGTCTGATGTCCTGACAGCCCGGCCAGAGCAAAAATGGCCAGCAGGCTGTCACGTCTGAGGATTTCAACACCAACTGTGGAATTTGCAAATGGGTGAGTGCCATATTGTGCACGGGAGCCAGAGAATGTGTTCAAAAACAGCTCCGTGGTATATGTCACATGAAGTCTTAGTGACACAGCTCCTGGGCAGTGTCAGACAGGGCCTTAGTTATGGCCACACAGCAGCCAACAGAGAACCCTGCTGCTGCGTGAATGACACCAGCAGGGAGGCTACTGCCGGCAGCTCTCATGCCAAACAGAAAATTCCAGGTGCTGAGGAGATGAGAGGAGGCAGCTGTGGGCTGTGGGACATCCAAGAAAGCCAGTTCCCTCTTAGAGATGGAAGCTCAGTATGTCCAGCGTAACCTGAGCTGCCCCGGCCTGGGCTTGGAGGGCATTCCTGCCTGTGCAGGCCTGCAAGAGTCGGTTGGGCTCAGGCCCTGGAAGGGCCCCAGGCCTGCTCTGGGAGCACCCGGGATGCCTGTTGTGGGCCGGGCCCAGGATGCCTGGAAGGTTCTTTGAACAAAGCTGGTGCTGCCAGGTGTCCGCTGGCCTCCACCAGACCCGGCTGCTGCTTGCACAGGCCCAGGCAGTGGGCCCCGTGTGCTGGTACTTGTGAAAGCAAGAAGCTCTCTTCCTAACACTCCACTTGTACTACAGGGCCTTCCAAGATTTTAGCCAAAGAGCCCTTTAAACATTGACTCACGGGACCCCCCTCCATGGAGCTCACAGAAGTCTGCACCAGGAGACAAACTTCAGCAGCAGCCACCAGTTACACATGCCCCTCACCCAGCTGCTTCTTCCCTGTAGGAGGGTTTCCCAGCAGCCTCCTCAGCCTTGTGCACGTGTGGCCAGACCCGTGAGCCCAGCGTGGGCTTGAGCAGAGTCCACATTTCAAATAGAATCAGACGTTTTTGTTGTTAAAATTGCCTCAGGGGACAGTCTGAACTGCCACAGATGCAACCCATTCTCATCATACATGGAGCTCATGGTGTTGTGGTTATAATAGACCTAGAATTAAATTCATCTAAATGCTATTTATAGACACTCATTTAAATTGAGAGAGTATATCTTTTTATAAGAACTATTAAACACCTCAAAATTTAATTTAAAAAAGAACTGTAAGTTCTCTGCTCACAAAAGGATTGGAAGAAATAATTCCAAATTCCTGCAAACTCTAACCATAGCTTTCTAAATCAATCCTGGCAATAAACTTCCATGAAAGAACAGATAGAAATTTTTGTTGGAGGAATTTATCCTCCATGTCTGTAAGTGCTCAGTGCTCACAAAGCATAGCTGCTTGGATGAGCTGGAATCCACTTATGTTCTTTCCTAAACTCATTCTGGCCAGAACTGAGATGCAGGATGGGCGGCCACTCCAGCCCAGTGCACAGCAGCCAGAGCTGAGCACCCTCTCCCCAGACTTTGGGGTGGAGAGGACACATTGTAGGGCAAATTCAACTTTTTCAAATGGCATTTATAGCAACTGGGAAGCATGGTAGGTATTAGCTGCTGTAGAAATAGAAGCACAGAAACTCAGGGGAGGTTGAAGGGAAGAAAAGCCCCCAGAGGAGCTGTGCTCAGAGATGAACCCACACCTGAGACCAGCTGGGGCCGCTAGGAGGCCCGGTCCCTCGTGTGTGAAGACAGAGCCTGTTTGCTGGGACGGTGGTTTAGCAACCCATGCTTTGGCCCCACCCAGGAGCCACTCAGAGCCTGAGTGGCCCCAGTCTAGCTGTGCTTTGACAGACAGCAGCTGAGGTCCAGCCGTGGGCTTCCCACCAGCTCTGCTCGGCAAGGCAAGCCTTAAAGAGATACAGGGAGAAAGCCCTCCATTTCTTAGCAGGGGGCAGCCAAGCCTCCCTGCACTCTGTAAACCCACCAAGGCAAAACATCTCAATGCCAGGTTCAGGTGCCAAGTGGGGCAGCGAGGCGGGACCATAGGAACTCCACCGTGTTGGGCCAAGCTAATTTCCTCATGGCTTCAAGTCCATCCTTTTATACTATTCTTTGAGATGCTGGGTTTGGGATTCTGCAACCCACATGCCTGCTTTCTGCCCTGATAGGCTCTGCCCACAGTGGGTGCTAGAGGGAGCCTAGAGGCTGGAGGCAGAGGAAGTAGCTCATGTTTGGTTTACTTCCTGTTTATCTCTGTGGGGCTTCCTGTCCCTGTCTGTTTCCCCTAGCAATGCTTCTTGTTCACTCAGGTAGTGTCAATTTCTTCAGAAGCATTTGAGGACAGCTTTTTGGTTTTCCCAACACTCACAGAATCAACCTCAGCCAAAACAGCCCCCTCCTCACTGCAGGAGTGCCATCCCCACAGGGGCTCTCTGCTGAGCTCAGGCACCAGCACCAGCTAAGGAGCACCCCACTCCCTCACCTCGGGAACCTGGGATTCAGCCCACACTCCCTCCAACTGTCTCACTTTTAGGTGGTCCAATAGCTTCCCTTTGCCCCCTCCAGCCTTGGAGGTGATACATACTTCCTGTCTCTTCAGTTACCTAGTTAATAATTCTATTCAATTATCTCTAATAAAATAACTGGTGTGACTTCTGTCTCTTGTCTGGACCCAGCCTAATTTACCCACAGTTAGGTCCCAAGCATTGATAGTGGAAACTAGAGCTTGGCTTCCCAGCCTGAGCAGGGACAAGTTCAGCCTTGAAGGACATAGCGAAACTTGTGGCAAATGAAGCTTAATTGCTGTACAGTCTTGGAGGGTTGCAGGGACTGCTTGCTAAATATTTAAATGTTTCTCTTTGCTGGCCAGAAGTGAGCTGATGGAAGCATCCTCATCAGAGGTTTTCGAGAGAAGATGATCTTGTTAAAGTTTGCAGTGGGACTTTCTCTGGAATCCATTTGAAAGGGCTCTGGGATGATGGTGGGACCTGCAGCCGATGCCGAAAAATCACTCCACACCGACAACATGGTCTCGGACTTCGTGTCCTTGAACACCATTTTGCCAGAGGTCTTGGATGACATTTTTCTTTTCAGATGGACGATGCTGGGCGTCTTGCTCTGCCTGTGAGTCCATCGGCTTTCCTCCAGAGCCTGTGTGAATTCCAGTTCTCTAGCTTTGCTTTTCTCAATGAGTCTTCGCACCATCGGAGAGGTATATGTGACATAGGCTGGCCAGGGGTCTTGTTTTTCCAGCAGTTCCAGGGGAAGCCCAATGTTTTCTGTGAGTTCTACCAACAACAACAACAACAACAACAACAAAAATTAGGTAATTTAGAGGCTCTCACAGAAAATAATTCAATTCTTCAAAGAAGGGGAGGGTATAGGAAGTACATTTTGAATGTCTCTCGATCCTATAATAGCTGTCCCACACTTCTGTTAGGGGGATTAAAATCTAATCCAAAATTGGGAAACACAATGACATTCCATAGAGCATACTAAGTAAAGAACAGCATGGTAGTGGAGTAGGGAGCTTGGATCACCCAGGCTGGGTTTCAGATCTTTATATAATATCAACTTGTTTAGCTCTGAACTTCTATTGTTCAACAATAAAAATGGTTACCATGGGCTACTGTAAGGATTAAATAACATGATGTATTTAAGGGCTTGGAACAGTGCAGTTCAGGGTATGAACATACGGGCTTCTTACTTCAACTGCTTCTCTCCCACCTTAACAGCTGTGAACCTCCAACAAGTGTCTTTATTTTGTCTCTTTTTTAAAAAGTATATTTTAAAATATATTTTAATTTTAAAAAATCTTTATTGTTGAGAGTATTACAGATTCCCCCTCATATACCAAATTGTTTATTTGATTCTCAGAATCCTTTACTGTTGAATCCCTATAAAGTATTCTTTATTTCAGTTAGTGTATGCTTAATTTCTGACTGGTCCTTTTTCATGTCTTGGAAATTCTCACTGAGATCCTTGAAAGTCTCACTAAGTCCCTTGAAGCTCTCATTAAAATCCATGAGCAAACTTATAACAATTGCTTTTACTCTGACTAGTAATTTGCTTGCTTCCATTTTATTTAGTTCTTTTTCTGGAGACTTCTTCTGTTCTTTCATTTGTGACATTTCTTTGTGTCTGCATTTTGTCTGCTCCCCTGTATTCAGTTCTATGTATTAGGTAGAGCTGCTATGTCTCCTGGAATTGGTAGAGTGGCCTTATGTAGTAGGTGTCCTGTAGGGCCCAGTGGCTCAGACTCCCCAGTCACCTGAGCTGAGAACTCCAGGTGCACCCCTGAGTGGGCTGTGTGCACAGTTTTGCTGTAGTTGAGCCTTGATTACTGTTGGCGTCACTGGAAGGAATTGACCTCTAGGCCAAATGTCTGGGAGGACCAGCTTCAAATACAGTAGATGATCTTTGCAGGAGACACCCCTATGGAGTAGGACTTGCTTGAGTGGGGTTCTTATTTCAGAGATGAAGGGGGAGGGACAGAGAGACAGAAACATCAATGATGAGAGAGAACCACTGATCAGCTGCCTCCCGCACATCCTCCACCAGTGACCCAGCCTGCAACCCCGGGCATGTGCCCTGACCAGGAGTTGAATTGTGACCTCCGGTTCATAAGTCAATGCCCAACCACTAAGCCATGTTGGTTGGGTTCAAACAAGTGTTTTAAACCTTTCTAAACCTTAGTTGCTTCATGTAAAATGATGATTAGCATAAAATCAATTTAGGGCTTTCTGTGGTTTAAAAGAAAGAATTTATGCAAAGCTTTAGCACCATACCTGTCCAGAGAACTTCTGGTTTTCTAGAATTCATTAGTTTATAGGTTCAGTTTTGTTCCACTCTTTATCCTTCTACTCAAGGAAGCTTTGTGGAATACAAGTGAGTGTGTTGTAGACAGGAGCAGGCTCAAATTTCACTATCTTTATAAAGTGAATTATTTACAAATGTTAGCATGTTATTATAACAAAAGATAGAATCTTAGATATTCATTCATACTCTTTTTTTAATTAAATCTTTATTGTTCAGATTTTACATTTGTTCCTCTTTTTACCCCCCATAACTCCCCTCCACCCAGTTCCCACCTCACTCCTCCTCCCTCACTCCCCACCCACTGTCCTCATCCATAGGTGCACGATTTTTGTCCAGTCTCTTCCCACATCTCCCTCACTCCTTCCCCTCGCCCCAGAATAGTCAGTCCACTCCCTTTCTATGTCTCTTGATTCTATTATAATCACCAGTTCATTCTGGTCATCAGATTATTTATTCACTTTATTCTTAGATTCACTTGTTGATAGATGCATATTTGTTGTTCATAATTTGTATCTTTGCCTTTTTCTTCTTCTTCCTCTTATTAAAGGATACCTTTAAGCATTTCAGGTAATACTGGTTAGGTGGTGATGAACTCCTTTAGCTGAATTTTT